CGTTGATAATTCACGAACGTCGGCACGCTGATATATATATTTATATTTTTTTAATGGCACTTCATATCAAAAAGGTTGCCGACCCCTGATATAGAGAAACAATGAACTGTGCCTTATAATAATTGACAATAATTACACAAAAGTATTAAATAAATCCAACTTATGAAATATTCAACAATGTAATTAAGGGTACTATAAACATTTTTAAAAAAAGCACATGACTGTAAAGCCTCAGAAATAAAAACTTTTTTTGTGTAACTGATGTTTACACAACATTCATTTTGCTCAGCTCCAACGTGACTTAAATCAAGTGCATTCAAACATTTTGGGAGGATGTCCAATTTGTTCCCCAAAAGAAAATACAATCAAAACTGAGATATATAAACATAGATAGATTTATACCTCCTACAAAACTACGACAAATTGTATCCAGGGTTTTAACACATGAGGAAAGACATTTAAAAAACTGAAATGCATTTAAAACTCATTACTGTTATAATGACAACATGACCCTGACCTTGCAGGCGACCTCCACCTTCACGGGGCTTCCTCCGAACAGGGTGGGGGGGGCGCTGGCTCCGGAGGATTTGGGGGCAAATGTTGCCGTCCGAGGAGACTTCGGAGAGACGGCGCTCTCACAGCGGTGCAGGAAGCGAGTCACCTCCAGCTGCAGCTCGATGGTGTTCATATGCCTGCATGAACCAAGAGGAACATAGTATATTCACTCTAAATGTGAGAAATGTCACGTAAAACAGGTCATTTATAAAGTGTCATTTTTCTTACTGTAATTATTTTTTTACTCATTTTCAATTATTTGTACTCAATCCGATTGATCAACGTGTAAAGGAATAGTAAGGTAATGGATGATCTCGGATAATGCAGTAGAAATGGCTGAGGGCTACGGGGCTTAAACAAACAAACATGTAGGTTTATTTCCTCGCATTAATTAAAATAAGAATATGTAAAGACCTGGAGACGTCGCTGGAGGACATCATCTTCCTGAAGGAGTTGACCTGCGACCTCCTCTTCCCGCCCCCCCGGCCCTGCTGCTCCTGCAGGAACGTCCTCAGGTGCTCTTTGGCCCGGACCAGCCAGCTCTGCACAGGTGAACAGGTTAAAGTCAGGGACTACTTTCTCTCCGATGTAAAGAAGGGTTTGTTAGAGGGATGTATACCTGGTTTTCTCCCAGCTGCAGGTAGGAAGTGGCTCCATGAGTGAAGAATCTGATACACGTCATGGCTGCACGCACGTGATCCTGCACGGGCACACAGCATGTCACACACAAACAGTATTATTTCATTACCTCAAAGAAAATGTTACAACAACGGCACAACACTGCTTCCCCAGTATATCTCTGGGCTTGTTTTTCACTTTATATGTGACAGTTGCTTTATCTACAATGAAATAAGACAAACATTTATATAATGACAAGAAGTTAAAAAGGTGGGAATTTGCAATATAGAAAAAAAAAAACTCATATGAAAGTAAAAAAAAGTGCAATAAAATATATAATAATTTTTTTTTATTTTTTTTATTTAGGATTGACTGTATCGAGCAGTGGTTTCCAAACTGGGGGTCAGGACCCAACAAGGTTTATCAAACTTTTCTCTCATCTTTGTGTATTTCCTGCAAGATATTATCGTTGTACTCCTTTAGGAAGCAGATAATGCTTTTAATGAAGGGTTCATAAGAAAAAAGAATCTGTGCAAAATAAACACTTTTCTAACATACCTTTAAGGTGTAATACGTTATAAAAGTATTGCTTCAACCAGTAGGCATAACAACCAATGTTTTCTAGGTGTAATAACTGTTGTTGCTTATGCACAAAGCATTATCTCATTACCTCTGTGGGACTAATAAAGGTATTCTGTTTCTGATTAGCTCGTTTTTTGTATTTAAATCAAGCCACGGACCTCACCACTTTCTCTTTGTCCCTTTCAAATGATAAATAAAGGCTCTGACCGTCATGAACTGCTGCAGCTGGTAGAGGGTGTTGAAGTATCCTCTCCTCTGCAGGAACTGGCAGGAGGCGATGAGGTACCGGCTGCAGTTCTCCAGACCCGGGTCCAGTTTCTCCATGATGCTCTGCAGAGAGCCGAGCCGCCCTTTCTCCAGACTGGGCTGCAACACACCCTCCAGAAACACCTCATCCGGGCACTCCTGAGACGTAGGAAAAATAAAAACACAGACTTATAGCAGGTTAGACGAAGAAGGGGCAGTCGTACTCTCACTTAATGCCCTGCTAATATCTGTTTTCTGAAAAGGGTCTGATCAACCTAGACAGCTTGGTTTTTTGTATAAGTGTAACCGGTGTCGATAAGCGGTGTCTGCGTTGTGTTTAATGTTGTTGATGGATGAGACCCGAGCCAGCATACAGTCGAGGCGTTTATTCACTGACGATATACAACAAGTCAGTATTAAATGTGTTTTCCCTCATGATAGTGGGGGAAACTTCTGAAGCAATTGGAGTCAGGACTAGGGTTGCAAAATTCCGGGAATTTTCAAAGATGGAAACTTTCCACGGGAATAAACGGGAATTTATGGGAATAAACTGGGAATTTTCAAAATTGAAGGTTGGCTCTTCAAAGGGAACTTAAATGTAGTTGGGGAAAGTATTTCATAATCTTGACTAAAACAAACAGATGCCATTCAAGTACACTTGAATATCCATGCCATAGCACACTGCTTACTGCATGGCTATTGAGACCACACAAAGGTTCGTAACAGGCTCACAAATGTGAGAGTGGAAAAACTGGTTGGCATTCGGGCAAACCTAAGGCTCTCTGAGCCTGACACAGAGCCATCCTCAACAAGGCTGGACAGTGACGCTGAAGAGGAAGACTCAGAGTGTGATGTTGATGAGGCCCAGGAAGAGCCCGTTGACTGAAAGGGTTTAGCCAAAATGCAGAGGATTGCTTGAAGGAAGATTTGCATGTTTAATGGGACTTGGAGGGAGAAGGGCTCTTTTCATTTAACATTTTGAATGGGAGGTGCATTTTTGTTCATTTTTAATGAGTGGGGTTGGGAGGGATGAGTAACATTTAACTCAAAATTCCTGTTTTCGTTCTTCAATGAAACAAATAATTGTTCAATTATTATTTTTATTTTTTTAAATCTGTTGAAATGTCATGTTTTTTTGTTTAATTCAGCATCGAATATTTCCGAAATTCCCCAGCTTAACTTCCCATGGAAACTTTCCGGAAACTTTACGCCCCTAGTGAGGACTCAGAGAGACACAAGGAGAGCTGGAGCTTTGATGGCAAACACTGACGGTTTATTTGGAGCTTCGGCCGGAGAATTCACAAAACATGCCACGGGTCACGAGTTGACCACACGGTTGAGAGGCCACAATCGGTTCTGAAGACCCCTCCTGTAGCTCCAGGTTTTAACTATCAGAGTGTAATAATCTACATTCTTCAATAGATAGACTAAACAGCTG